TGTTAAAAAAATTTATCGCTTAATTAATCAGATCTTTGAAAAAAATTCATTTTTCTGCAGTTCCACTTATTGTTAGTCACCCTTTATTGAAAGTAACAGTTGGAAATGTGTGTTACAACCAAGACAAAAACAAACCAGAAATAAATGGCACAAAAAGATAACCCAAAATAAGGAAAAGTAAAAAAAATGTAATAACTGGTTAAAAAGGTTTTCTGTTGTTACTCATTTCTCTTGACAGAATCTGAGTCAAACACAGGGAATCATCGTCATTCCAAGTTATCAACTGAATCGTCAAAAATGTCATTCAACGATAAATAAGATGCATAAATGGATAGAGTTGGGAGTAAAAAATCCCAGCGCATTTCCCATTATCCTCTTTACTATTCATTTATATCTTTATCTCAATCTAACCATGAAACTCCAATCCATGTAAAACCATCAATTGTTTCAAAAAAAAGATTCTGACTAGACAAAGAGAAAAGTTGGAAAAAACGAAAAAAATTGAGAATCAAATTTAACTGCAAGTTATTATTGGATTCATTTCCTTCCGATTCATCATCAATTTAGATAAAGTTCAGATGCTCAATTTTTTCAGTCTTAATGTAAAACCAAGAATAGCTCAATGTTTATCAAGAAGGAAAACAAAGAATTTTCTTTGAGATAATTTTCTCTCTTTTTTTTCATTACTTTTCATGAGTTAACTCGATTATGCGAAACTTTGTCGTGAAAATGTTAATATTGGCTGAAAAAGTGTTCAAGTGTTGATACAGAAAATGTTAACATGTAATTCATTTGGTGCAACAATAAAGATGAAAAGAATGAATGAAAACTGATGAAATGTTTATCTCGCTTCTTGCCGATCAAGATGTTGATAAAAGTGGGAAAAAAACATCTAATATATAAAATTAAAGTTGAATTAATCTTGAATCTTATCATGAACCAGAAACTCTTTCTTCGCTTTTTCTCCTTCTTCTTCTTCTCTTTTCTTACATTTTCTTTGATCAAATTTTTGAAACTGAAAGGCTGATGAAAGATAGAGAATGAAACTTTTGTTCAATGAAAGATTCCTTATCTATTATTAAAGCAGCTCATGATGTAGAGTAATGGTTGCGATGAAAAGATGTTGAAAGTGTTCATCAATGGGCTCATCAAACAGTGTTCATTCAATGTTATTACATCTTGTTATCAACATCGTATTAATTTTTGCCTTCAAGTCTTTAACCGATTCTCCCAACTAGTCAATAACATCAATTGGATTCACCATTTGTTTTGCATTAAACTTAATGGTTACATCAGTTTAAACCTCTTTAAACCTTTCAATAGAAATGTCATTTAATAGTTTCAATGTTTGTTCAAATCAACTGATTTGCATTAGTTGATCATTGCTTCCAAAACAAGACTCTCATGTTTCACTTTTTTCTCTTCTCTGAATTCGTTTTTTTTTCAACCTGAAAAATCTTCAGAGTCAAGTAATGAATCACTCAACGCATCCTTGCTTCAATTCATTTTTTCTTACAAACCATTTTTTCCTTTTAAAAGATCATTATTTTAGCATTTTAATTATGAATCAAGACGAGTTGACTTGTTCAGTAAATAAGCTTTGAAACTAAATGGAGTGATCTTTACATTTTTAACCTAAAATTTGATAATATTCAACGACTTTTTCACTAACCTTTAATGCAAACCCGATATTGGTTTCAATTGAGATGAGATTTTTCGTGTCTTTCAGTTGATCCAAGCTGTTTATGCTCATTAAGATATTTTGATTGTTGAAGTCAAGCTCATTAACTTTTAAGACTATCAGTTGATTCAACCATTGTCATGAATCCTGACTTTAGCCCAAGACAAATGTTGAAATGTAAAGATGACATCCTCACACTGGGAGTTTCATGAAAACTTAATATAAAGGGTGGAACAAAAGTAGAGCCACAAACTTTGAGACTTAATAATTAAATAATGAAAACAGGCAATTCGATGGATTTTTATAAAATGATATTGCTGAAATCAAGCTACAAGTTGGTTATCTAATTATTGAAAATGGCCCAGCTCTCGATGCTTTACGTAATTTTTTCTTCAAGTCGACCAAAAGATTTTTGCCGGAGCTCTCGGTAAATTTTTTCGATATATTAGTCCATATTTTGGTGAAATCACACATTTGTCTAGGAGTGTTGACCTTTGCGAATACTCGGCATAACATAAAGCCCAAAATTCCTCAATTGAGCGAGCTTGGGGGTGGTTGGGAGGGTTAGAACGCTCGGTCAACACAATCGATTTTTTTCACTTTTCTATGGCAATTGGCAGACTTGATTAAAAAGGAGTTCGTTAGATTTCCGTTTACTAGCTATGGTTTGAATAAAAATGTGCAAATTTAGTATCAAATGAAAGCCCAGAATCTAAGCAGTTTAGTTCAATCTCTTTAAAAATTCAAACTGACCTCTAATATGAGATAAACCGATCAAAAATTTGTGACCCTACTTTTGTTCCACCCTTTACTTTGTATAATACACTTGTTTAGAGTTAATCTTTAATCTTGGTTTAATAATGGTATTATTGTATGTTATATTAATAATGTTGACTAATTCCTGAGCAAAATGAAAGGATAAAAAGGAGAAGAAGAGATGAAAAAACAAAACAAAATTAAGGGTTAACCTTAGGTTTACCCATTTCGGAATGTCTTGTCTTAAGATGAAGGGAAACTTACAATAAATGGGTTGACATGTTAATTATTTTCCGGTTTTTCTGGTAAATCTTATGGAACAGTTTGTTCACAGCAGAAACCATCATCACCCAGCTCATCACCATTATCATTATTATTTTTATCATCATCATCAGAACCAACAAGCAAACCGTCAACATTTGAAAAGATGCAGCAAAAGAGTAAAAAGATTACTTTGATCAAGCAACCGAAAAATGATAACTTAATCAAGATGAGCCTTGTTCGGATGAACACAGCAATCGGATTATTGGACTTTTCATTTTCCCATCTAATTTAATTTAATCATAAATCACCTTTAATCCTTGATCAAGAAAACAAAGACAAAAAAAATCAATTGAAATCAATTTTCATTATTCCAGTTCAACATTACAACTGCATCACAATATTTCTGGTTAATCTTGTCAATTGTCGTGTTTTAAAGTCTTAACCTAAATCCTTTTAATCCATTTTCCCATGCACAACACTTTTCAATGTATAACAATTCATCAAGATTCATGTTAATCCAAAACAGAATCAAAAGGAATGGACAAAAAATTCTGTAAAAAAAACATCAATAAGGTTAGCATTTGAGAGAAACAAAAATTCTGGTTTTGCTTTTTCTTCTTTGGCTGTTTTTAGGATAGAAACGTGATTACCATCTTGAATATTAGTTAATTTTCAGATAATCTAATAATTATCTGAATAGAGAGGAACAGTACTCAGAATTAATTAGTCTAATCAATTATAAGCTGAAACTATTATTTAAAGGCAATACAAGATGCAAGAAGCGAATCTCATTTAAGCTGATAAAGCCAACATTTTGGCTTCTTTTCAGTATTCCTTGAACCAATTTTTTCTTCTTCCTTCCAACTATTATTGTTAATGATCAAGATTAGGCACTAATTTATATTGACAATTTAAAATACCATAGATTATTAACTACTTTGTTAAGATCAAGGTTTCAACCTCTGGTTATGAATGGTCTGGGTTGACTTTAAAGTGATCAATAATGATTATTGCTAATCAATCATCTGGGTTGACAAAAAGAAACCCAAAATGCCTTTAAACTGGTTTCAATTGTTATTGGAACAATTAAATTCAAATTAAGGTAGACGCGATAATTTTCAATAATAGTCTCAATAAGTTTTCATTGTAATACAATTGATCTTTTTGGGTTGAAAAAGGTTGATTACCTTTACCAGTTGTTGTCAATGTTAAAGGTTAACCTAAAAATATTTATTTCAATTTCCATTGAGAGATTCTGGTTAATCTCGAGGTCTGGAAATTTTATCAAATTTAGTTTATTGATTGCTAAGGTTGAAAGGTTAACCCAAGAACTGCAACTTTTCAATTATCAACTGCCGCTGGAAACATTGAAATTATTGAAATGAATTAAATGCTTTTTTTGTCTGGTAAATCAAGGTAACCAGATTTTGCAAAAAATAATAATGATTGTAATAATGGTAATATCGATAATAATCTTGAACTTGGTAAACCTAAAGTTGGTTTAGTTATTAAACATTTATGTCTTGGTTATACTTTTTAATGGTGAAAGAAAGTTTCTTCTTGTTTCCTCTCATTTTCACTATTAAAATGATTGCAATGATAATCAAGTAATAGAAGTTTAATGATTTGACAATTGGATGTTTAAAAGTTCCTGAAATTTTTTCATTTTTCTTTCCTTTTGTTTATTGTATTCATAAGGTTTTCGCATGGGAATGAACAAACCTAAATTATGTTGCAGTCACGAAATGTGTCTTATTAAATCGATATGTAATATTATCATCAGAATTGCCAGGTAAACAACGGAGAGTTTCATGATGCAGCAAACAGCTTGAGGATGATGGAAGACACTGACAAGTTAGATTGTTGTTTAATTATTTAAAGGGCAGAAAAGACGAGATAAATTGATATAAAGGGCAATCTGAATTACTAACTTTGAAATGTCAGTTTATTTTTACTTTGACTAACGTCTTTGAGCAAATATGGTGAAAGATTCATGGTGATCTGAGTGATAACGAGGAAAGTGCGAATGAAAGGGACGATTTTGATATAAAAGACTTGGAAATATTTAAGATGAACCTAAAAAGATTTGGTAAAACTGGTAAAATGGTTTTGCTTAAGATGCTCAATAAATTGCATTATTTCAGTCAATTTTTATTTTGGCTTTTGGTTAACCTTTAATCACCAGAATTTTTAATCAAATATTTAGCTTGTTTATGGGTTGAGAAAGATGTGAAGGGTTTAAAAGCGCAAATTTTGGGGAATGTTTAAAGGTTTGATACTTCTGGTTATGTCTACTTACGCTTTCCTTGTGTTTGACTCTTTGAGGGTAAAATTGTTGATATCAACCAAAATCATTGCCTCGAAAACTTTATTTGATGAGATTAATCCTTTGGTTCGAAGTTCTCGAATATAGTTACGATGTTCCTCAGAGACTGCCTTTGATTGAGAATAGAGTAGGTCAAATTTTAGTAGCGAAGTAAGTCCCTTTTTAGAGTCGAGTTCACTTTTCAATTTTCGTATCTCATCTCGTTGCTTTTCAACCTCTTCCTTCAACTTTCCATTATTTGTCTTGAGACGTCGATTCTCTGACTTAAGTTCTCGACATTCTTTAACAATCTCGTCAATGTAAGCATCCCTCTCAGATATAACCGATTGCAGGTAATTGAGACAACAATGGGTCGCCGTTTCCTTTCGTTTCATCACAGCTCCACAATTATTGGCACAGGTTAAACTGTTTTCCGGGTTAAATGAACATGACTCGCTGTGTGACCCAAGATCCTCTAGTTTGACATACTGGTAACATCCATTTGAAGCAAAGTCACATTTTATCTCTAAATTGGATAGAAAGGTTTTAACACTCTTGGGTATCTCAAGGTCACTTGGTGCTAAAGCTTTTTTACACTTAGGACAGGTTATAGCTTGTTGACTAGCAGCAGCAGCAGAGTGGTTATTGGTATTACCAGATAGAGAGGAAGAGGAAGATGAAGACGAGGCCGGAGTATTACTTCCCTCATTGGTGTTAGCTGTTGTACCATTGAAAAGTGGAGTTATACAGGATCGACAGTAGACATGTTTACAGGCATAACTTTGAATGGGATCATCTAAAACAGACTGACAAATACAACAGATAACAACTGAGCTAACAGGTCCACGGAATCGATTCAAGTCGTAACCCATATCTCCACTGATTACACTAAAGTCACTTGTTTAAATTATTGTAAATGTTTAAAATGTCAATAGTAAAATTAAATAGAAACTTAAATTAAATTTAACGTCAACACATAAGTCCAGTTACATCAAGTTAACGAGTTACAATTTTGCCTCCTTTTTGCGCCAACTTCAAGTATTGACGCCAATCTTGAATATTGATTTGATTTTTATTTCCAGGTTAATTAATTTACTTTAATGAAACTTTTCTCTCAACTTTTCAACATCAAGATTCAATATAACATGTAAGATGTTGAATGTTCAACTGATTTCATGGATTCTTTCCACTGTTTCCACTTTTTGCCTGTTTTACCATCAATAACTCAACGCATGTCTGAACCTTTTCTCATGAAATATTTTTTTCTTCTTCTATTATTTTATTCAATTTAGTTTCAAATAAATGTTCAACCAATTCAACCATTATAATTGTGCAGTAATCAAAGGTGAAAGGTCTGGAGTAAATTTGATAAAAAAAAAGACTTCAATATATTGAACGTAAATCTAGGTTCTCTGCATTTTCCAACCTTTTACTCGTTCAGTTCGCTTTTTAATTAACTTGGTTGATTGCTTAAAGATTGAAATACTGATTGAGGAATCAAGAGTAAGAATGTAACAATATTTTTAGGTTCATTTTTTACCCTTTTGAATGCAATGTTTTTGCTGGTTTACTTTTAGGATTAAATTACTCTGGATGTTTGTTTTGGTTGGATAAATTGAAACCAGAATCAAGGTTAAACTGGTAAGATTTCTGAATCCAACTGAGAAATGGTTCATTCCAATGTAAACATGAAATTAAAAATTTCCTTTGTGTTAGATGGTAAAGATTTAGTGATTGTTGAAAGCCTTAAAAATAACTCAAGTTTAAAGGTTAAAATATCAATCTATTTTGAATTCAATTACTAGTCTCACAGTTGATGAACAGTGGTTACTTAATAGCATCATGTAAACTGCTATCAATAGTATCATTGTTGAATAATCAAGTCTACAATGTTGAATAAGTTTCAGTAATTATTGATAATAACTTGAATTTTTTAGTTGCACAATTCAATTTTGTAATGTAATAACTTGAATGCATTACAGTCACTTGGGTTATGACCATTACGAGAGATTAAATTAATCCACTGAGCTTTTGTTGGGTTTTGGTGTAGAGTTGGAAAAAATCTAAAATTAGAAATTAAATGTTATTAAATACAAATATTGTAATCAATAATTAACTCAATTATTGAGTAAACATGATTCACTGACAAGCTATATTTCGTATACGACCCCCTTTTAGGCATGTCTGTTGAACATGTGTTTTAACATGAACAAAAATTGTTGACTTTTTTTAAATTAATTGTCTAAATCTTTTCTTGTGTATTATTTTGGGTTTATTTGGCTAATTACCTGTCAAATCACAATTTAAAATGGCAAAGAAGAAGATGAAAAAGCTGAGAAAATTGAATCTAGTTTTTGATGAAGAGGAACGTCGAGATTATTTAACGGGTAAGTAAATGCAAGCTTCTGCTTCTTGTTTTGATTTTATATTTGAGATTTTAATTGTGTTTTACTTTAATCTTTCAGGATTTTCCAAGAGAAAGCAGGAAAGAAAATTAAAAGCCAAGGAAAAAATTGAAAAACAAATGAGAGAACTTCGTATCAAATTGAGAAAACAAAAACGAGAGAAACTTAAATCAGCGTACATTAACCAGCAAGGCGATCCTGATATTGAAGCTATGTTGCCAAAAGAGGATATTAAGACGTATGATTTACCTGAACAAGTTGTTACTATAAGCCCTATGGATCCGGCTGAAATAGGTGGATCTTTAAACCTTTTTATGGGTTATAATAAATTTGAAGCATTACCTGATGATGATCCTGGTGAAGGTAATACAAAGCTTGTAAACAAACAACAAAGTTGATGTTTTTACGTAATGTTTCCCTGTTGATAAATTTGTTTACCATTTTGGTAAAACTCAAAAGTTTTGGTTTAAACTTAATTTAAGGTGCCTCGATTCATGAAGCTTAATAAATTAATTTATTTCAATCCTAGTTTTGATTCTTGGTTAACCTTTAATTAGTCTTATTACCAGGATCTTTGGTCAAATATTATAATATTTGGTCTTCTGTTGTGTTGAGAAAAGCTGTTGAGGTTGAAGGCTATAAAGACCCCAAATTTATATGAAATACGAAATTTCATGGATTCGATTCAAGCGTAGTCCATTTATCTAGTAATTGAAGAGGAAATAGGAAACTAAAGCAACTTTTTAAATTATTGTAAATTGATTAGATACTTAAATACCATTCACCATTAAACACATAAATCCAGTTAATATCAACTATAGTTTATTCTATCAAATGATTTAATTTACAAAATTCTAATTGTTCAGTGATAATTCCTACTCGAGAAATTCGTATTGTGACAAGAAATGAAGAGGTGGTTGTTTATCTTGTAACATATCTTCCGTAATTTTAAATTCCGCCATGGTTTGATTGATCCATTGAAGAGTTTTTTCTTTTTCCTCCTTGAATTTTACCTGCTCTTCTTCGAGTTTTGCTCTGTATTCGTCAATTTTCTTTTGCTTAAGATCTTTACAATATTTTTCACAAGTTTGTCTGATGGTTCTTTTTCTTTCAAGAAAAGGATATGGCCAATAGTATGGAATCGGTGGTTTAAAATCAATTTCTAGCTTTTCGCAAAGCATATTACATGTTTCCCGGTCCATTTTATACAATTCAACTAAAAATTTATAACGCTTATTTATGAACCTGGAGACTGCTATTTTATGGCCAGCGCTCTGTGAATAGAAAAAAATAAATCAATTGTCTGAAAACCAAGTTAGTAAAACGAGTAAATTGAACTCACGTCAGGAGCTTCCTCACGAATGATTTTTCTCATATGTCTTATTGTGTTTGTCAGTCGGATTACTATTGGAATAATGAAGATAATTAGTTGATTGACACATTTCAAATTGAGCATTTAGCATCTTATACAAACCTTTCTTTTCATATCCGTCCTCATCTAAATAACGTCTTCGAATAGGCAATGATCGCGTGTATTCCTCGTTTTGCAAAATCTTCAGCTCTTTCTAAAGTAGAATAATCATATTAATTTGTAATTTCTAATTGAATCTTAATCTGCTTACTCTTCTAGCGAATCTGAGGGTGTACATCTTCCGTACAGATTCTGGAGCGCTGTAAAAAATTAAAGCAAAAACAACGTTGAATTAGGAATTAGATCATCATCATTCAATAGAATACATACTTTTCAAGAATCTTCATGTCTTTCAACATTGGCTTCAGTTGATCCAAGTCAATTTTATTCAAACCTTCCTTTCTATCACCAGAATCAAAATACCCAGGTAAAAGTTCAGGCTTTTTCCATTGAAACGGTAGCCAATCATTTGGCCAAGTTCGCCATTTCCTAATTTCTCTGTTTTGGTTTAGCACAAGAAATTGATTAGCACAAGGGCGAAGAAGCGAATTCCAGCAATCTGTGCTCAGTAAAATTCTTGACCGACACGGCAACATGTTGAAAAGACAGCAAGATTGATAAACTAAAGATACATGAATTAAACTCAACTAAATTAAAAAAACAATCAAAACATTGCGTTTGAACAGATACAAATATCTAATAAATAAGGATCCTCTAGGATCAGATATTGGGAAAGCGGCAACTTCAAATATTAAGTCTCCAATGTTTAGCAAAATTGTTGCTTAAAGCATTAAAGTTATGAAAAACGAATGATAACAGGAAGATGATGCAGAAGAAGACAGAAAATTAAGACAAATTTCTTTCAGACTGTTAATTGAAGATTGATAATGTTGATAATAAATGTATAATAATGTATCTAATAAATACAGGTCCACAGGATTGGATATTACTGAAAGCGCGAATTTGAAACACAAAGTTTCCATTTTTCGAGCAAAATTTCGTCAATGTTTATTAAAAACCTAATATTTGATCAACATTTTTGGAAATTTTTTACCTCTCTTGCAATATTTAAATTTGTTAAACACTCAAATCACTAGAGATGAGAGAAGACATTAATCAAAACAAATTATCGCAACACTTTGAGACGGTTCAGTTGATATTTCAAAGCATCTTTTGCATAAACCAACTTAATAAAAGGGCAAAAAAGATGATGATGATTGAATATGAAAAAGTGTCTGAAAGACAAGTTGAACATAAGTTAAGTCAAGTTAAAAAAAATTTAAAGCGAGCAATTACAAACGCCAAAATAAGTCTATGACAATTAGCTTTTCAATCAACCGAGACTCCTAACGATTCTAATCCTCCATTAAGATTAAAATAGTTCAGGCCCACAATTCAATTCCAAGTTTTCTTTCCAAACTGACAAAACATTCTTAATTTCATTTCCAAAGATTCAACCCAAATCATCACAAATCTGGTCAAATCATGTAACAAGTCAGCTTAGGCCATAAGACATGAATCCTTCAACCTAACAAAGTCCCTCACACAGGATCAAATGAAGACGCATAGTAAGGGTCTTTGAACGTAACTTTAATTTTCATCTCAATACAAGTTGAAAATTTTGCTCTTGAGCTTCATTATCATGAAAATGAAAAGGTTTAAAAAGAGATTTCTTCAGCATTTCATTTGACAATCTCATTCTTTCCAGTTTCACCTTAATTCAATTCATTTCAATTGCATAAATAATGATCTTCAAACACAATTGTTTCATAACTTTACACAATAAAAAAGTGCATCAAATGTAAAGTTGACTTTTCATTATTGGTAAAAATGTTACCAATCAAAATGATATCAAAGTAAACGTTTATTCAACATTGGTAAATATTAACTTCAAGATAATGTTAATATTTCATGATTATTTTATACATTTTTGTTCCAGATGATATTATTTCTGAGCAAAAAAAAACAAAATTTGATATTAGATTTGTTATTCTCCCAGTTATTTTGGAGTCTCAATTTTGCTGAAACTTGAAATAATATACAATAGGAAATGATGATGATAATAATAATAATAGACAAGGAAGAGCAAGATGAACAAGATGAAAAATTTAATGTAAGAAACTGAATTTTCATTTTCTTTTTTCACCATTTCTTGAAACTCTCTAGAGCTTTTTGTTTCCATTTTTAGGCTCAACTTTTTTTGTATCTTTTTATATTTATGATTTTACTGCTTCTTTTTTGTTTCTTTAAGGATCATATTATATTACAATTGTTATTGTCATAAATACACTTTTGTGGTGTCAACTCAGCATTTTGTTTTTTCTTGCCATCTTTTGATATTCAGTTACGTTCCTTCACCAATTCCCAGTCGAGTTTTAAAAGTCAACTTTGAAAAATGAAAAAAAGCCAAAAATAACGAGCTTTTTCCTTCTCAACATTCAATCGGTAACAATTGTAATGATAAGATCTGGTAAAATGGAAATTGTGACTCCATCAGTGTTGAAGATTAAAGATTGAAAATCTTTCAAAATTGAGATTACATTTTGCTTTCAAATAATTGCGGCTCATAAGGTTTGACCCTTTACCTGGAAGCAAAGTAAATGTGACTCAAAAACACACATCAGATTATTTTACACTTCATTCATAGTTCAAAAACTGCACTTGAACTTGAACAATTATCAGTAATGACAAGTTGATTTGAAAATATAATTATTGAAATATCTATTTCAACCTAACCTAACACTTTCTAGTTGTTTAAAAGTATTTTTGTGTCTCCTCATCAGTGACCCAAAATAGGATCTTACCGACAATTTTGGGTTTGAGAAAACTCATGTATCTTCTTATGATGGAAGATTATGTTTCATAGATTATGATGTTTAATATTTGCTTGATTTTAGTTCATTTATTGCGTCTTTTGCATTAATAGTGTAACAAGAAATCTTTTGATCTAAAACAATTGTATTGAATGCAATAAAATTGTGAGTTTCATTGATCAATCTAGGCCTTGTTGACTTTGTATTGTTATTGGTTTGAGTATGAAATAAGTTGAAGATTTGTTGATAGGAAATGTAACTTGTTGTAACTGCAAGGGTCAATAAGCATTAAAGGCTAAAATGGACAATTGGAAAAATTGATGACATTGATAATCATAATGATGATGGTCAAAAATGTGATCTAATTGACTAGAAATGTTGAGAATAAATGAAAGGTTTAAATGTAATAATTGATGTAAATGGTTAATTAACCAGACAAGATTGGGTTCAGTTGAAGAACCGTAAAAAGGTCAAGATAATGAAAGATGTGGAGAGAGGACAATAAACGGTTGATAAAGGGATGATAACAGGAAGATGGAGAAGAAGATGAAGAGAAAGACAAGTTGATTTAACCTCTAACAAGAAACTGTTTATAGTGATAATAATGATTGGTTATTGGACTAAACCAATTGAACATGATTAGTTGAAAAGGAAACAGTAAAATTCATTCAATTTCATCTTGCCTCTTCCCAGTCTTATCCACTATCCAATCATCTTTATCTTCATCTTCATCTTAACCTTGTAACTCAAATCAAATTTGAATACTCGATTTAATCGGAAACTGTTTTTTGTTGAGCGAACCCAATCAACTGTACAAATGATTGAATGAATTTTCATGGAAAAAAAGTTATCGAAATGAAAATGAAAATCTTGAGATTGACTCTTGAAACCAACAAAAGTCGATGAATACAAAAGAGAAAAATTTTGTCCTAAAATCTGTCGAAATGTTGACCATTTGAATTGCTGTTCAACCCTTTGCACCAAGTCATTCATTGAACCATTTCCATGGAATCATTCATCAACTGGTGAAACTGGTGAAATGTTTGATGATAATAATGTTCATGTAAACATGAACATTTACATTTGAGTAAAAAGAAATATTTGATTTTCTCTGTTTAATAAATATTATTCATAACTTGAGGCCTTTTCTTGTTTCCCCATTCTCATTCTGATAATGCATACATGATACATGGAATTAACCTTTGATTGGATTGCATGTTATCAACCAAATGAATTGGCAACTCTCATCTGTTTAACTAACTGTAAACATGAGTTGTTCACAGTCAGTTGTTCATTTGTTTTTTGATTGACACTTCCCAAGTGGATTGATAGAGTAACCAGTTTCAATCATGTTAGCAATACATTGATATGGAATTCATATTTTTTAGGTTTTTTCACAATTTTCAACTTTACCGTTTGTTTCAAATGTTGCATCAGCTTTTTCTCAAGTTCAACTTTTTTTTCTTCTTCATCATTTTCCAAAAGGCTCATGAAATGAAGAGCAACATGAAATATACAACAAAAGAGGAAAAGGTTAAGAACCACAAAAGAGTATTGGGAAGAAGCGTAAAAAAAAGATGAATCGATTTTATTCAGTCTATCAACTTATTGAACAACATTTATTATTATTACTGTTTGGATGAATTTTTCTTCTCTCCTTCTTCTTTTCCATCTTATTCTTATTCTTCCATCAGAATTATTATTACTTTTATTTCTCTTTCCAAAATTCTCATTCAATGAATGGGAAAAGGAAGAAAGAAAAGGAGAGGAAAAAAAACAGTTTACTCTTTTGTTATTATCTGAAGACAGAAACAACAGAAGGAAAATGATTGAATACTCTAGATAACCCTTCACCCTTCTCATTATCATTTTGCACTTTCTTTTGTCTTCAATCGATTTTTGGTGAGAAAAGTAAAATAGTTCACAGGTTACATTGAATATCCCCAGATGGAGTCAGGGTAAACATGGCAAAGCTTCAAGTTTACAAGTGAAAACTGTTGTCCAAACAAACTCAGTTCACCAAGGAAATGTTCAAAAATTTCAACTCGAATTGCTTTTCATTGATAAAGTAGAGTGAAGTTATCGACAAGTCAAAGAACAACAATAGTTATGAATGTATGAAGTCAGAAAAATCTCAAAAAATAAAAGTCCAAGTCTAACTCAGTTAATTCGTTATAATGAAACTGTCCAATTCTGAGATGAAAATAGTTTGAAATGAGAAAAAATTGGAAAATTTGTTGGCGAATTGCGAACTTGAAGTTGAGAAATGTTTTCGAGGAAAAATCCAGTTTTCTCATTTCTAGTTTCCAATAATCTTGAATGGTTGATCAGTCTAAATAGATAATGCGATAAAATGGTCAAAAGAGATTCATTTTTTCTCCTAATTTCACCTCTTGGAATTAAGAAAATGATGAACAGTTTGTTCCTGGCGTAATATAAAAATAGACAATAATAGGAGCAATAAAAGAGGAAAAAAAGTGATACCAATTGTAATAAGTACAATAAGGGTAACACTTGTTTTCAGTCAATTGCTTTTAACCTTTTCTCATTTCATTTTATTGGTAAAATGTTGCCACTCAAGAGGCCGACCATAAATGTTGAATAATCTCGAGTTTTATTTTCCTCTTCTTCTTTCCAATCATCCAATGAGTTGATCATGAAAACTGATCAACAATCTAAACACAAAGATAATCACATTGGCCCTTTATCTGATCTCCTTTTTGTTGGCTTCCCTTGCCTTCTGTCAATCATCTCGGAGTATCGATTGAATGGCAAAAAGTTGAACCATTCAAAGTTAATGGATAAACAACACTGTTATGACAGTATCATGATCATCATGAGACTTGAAGTTTCCTCTTGGTTATTGTTTCTATCTTTTTTATACCATCAAACAAATAAA